GTTCCAATAGCTCTGAGAACGATTTGATCTCATAGCGAGGAATTTCTTTTTTGAAGCGGATATTGAGGAGTCCGTATACGAAATCCAGTTCCTCTTCTTCCTTGTGCCTTTTTGCTGGAAGATGCGATAGCAAGGCACGTTTGTCACAAACGAATGCATCAATAGTTTCGTTTGTTTGCTTCTTCGCAAACAATTCCAGGTAAACTTCATGCGGTTGCATTTTTGGGGCAAATGCACTTCTGATCGCGTCTAAAGCTTGATTCCACTTTTTTATCTCACCTCTGACGCCACTCCACCACGTAGCTGCTTGTCCTGTTAGTAACAACGTTAATCCTTCGAGAGCGTCTTCGTCGGTGATTTTTTCAATTTTCTTGTAGATACTAATATTTGTGATAAACTCTTCTACTTTATTATGATTTCTTTCTCCGTCGTACCTTTTTGTGCAACGAGTGAAACTGCTTTTGTGTTGGCTACCTTCGTATGTAATTGACAACTTGTTAATGAGTGTCGTGAATTGCTCCTGCGTCATAACCATCAGTTCAGGTTTTTCTTCTGACATTTTGTGTGGGTAGATTACAATTCCAAATCCAATTTATTGAGATAATAGACAACAAATCCAAATCCAATTTATTGAGGGTAGATCCTTGGTAGTTTTTTTTTGCCGTTGGGCGCCAATATGTTGTTGCCAGATGAATTAAAATAACTGATGTCTGAGTAAACAGGAATTTTATTCGTTCATGTAACAAATTATACAAAACACACGGATACGTAGATAGTAAGGTAAACGTACAATTCCTAAGGGTGGTTCTTGGAACGGGCTGCGGGGCTACCGCGTTCCTTAACCTCCTAGCTGATGCTTTCTCTGAGGGCTGCGGGGCTACCGCTCAGATCAAACTTGGGCAGACGAGTGGACTGCGGGGCTATCGCACTCGTTGCCGTCTAGCTATCGAATGTCATAACTGGCGCGCTGCGGCCTCTTAAATAGCGATCGTAGACGTCGTAGTGGTGTGGCGATGCGTAGATTACTCATGGTTATCGTTGTGTGAGTGAGCGCGTCACAGTGCAGCGTTGTAGGAAAAATGTAGCATTGCTATAATAGGGATTTTTTAATTATAATTTTCGAAACCAATCTGTGGGTTTTGAGTTTTTTACCACGGCAACACTGGACGCGGATTGACACAGGCATTCGTGACTTGACATTTGACACTTCTCGCTTATGTGGAAGGTAGAGGTAAAAGGAGAACCGTCTCATATGGGAGAAGCTTGAAAAAGTGTCCTACTTTCAGCACTAAATAACAGTTCAAAAATCCTCCAGAATGGCGCTAGCACAGGCACAGGGTATGATACGAATTGAGCAGTTGCTAACTGATTGAAGTATGCTGAGTTAGGAAATTTAATATATTTATTGACTAGAGTAGTTAGTGACAGTGTAATATACAAGACCTTACATGTTTACGTAGTCAAAACTAATTTCGTCAAATAACCTAAAATTATTGCTGTAGTAAAACGTGGAGACATCGATTGCATTTTCTTATCAGCTTTAAATAACATACTTTTTGTGATTTTGTAGTGCTTACAGTTCTTTCGTCCTTTTTTATTTCTCTATCTTATTCTAAAAACTTTCAGCGCCTTTTTTAAAATTTACCCGGTTGCTACTGTAGCGCCACCCTTATTTAGCAGATTTTAACGGACACTTTTCACACCCAGAGACGGGGATACATTTTCTTCTTCCATCTTTCGGTAATACCAAGTTCCTATTTCGTCAATGTATAATAAATGTACCTTTGGGTGACATCAAGTGTATTCATGAGGAATTTCAAACAGACTTGACGCCGACTTTTTCCATCATTTATAAAATAAAAGAACGTATTATTCCTGTAATTTGAGTTTTTGGATCTTTTCCTTTTTATGGATTGCTTAGTGGTCATAGAGATTATCCATTGCTTTTTTCTTTCCATAGACAATTCCCAGAAATGTTTAAATATGGCACTTCTTCTTTCCGTGGTTATCTCTTGACATTTATAGGGACAGTTCTTTTCTAAGCAAGGATTCGGTTTCATGGTTCTTTCTTTCGCGATTGTACCATTTGCCTTAACATATTGAATGCCTTTTGATCTAGCATCCTTTCTTATCTTTTTCTTATTTATTCTTTTCTTTTTTAATCCTGCATTATCTACTTTTCCATCTTTTGGGCTTGTTTTCTTTTTCTTCTTTGGTGCTTGATCATCTTGATCATTTGAAGATCGATCATCTGTTTCTTTATATGATGTTGAGTCCCGGAAAAAACCTTCATTTTCCCTTAAGAAATCAATGTGGCTTCTTTTAAATCCAGCCTGTTTGTTTTTCTTCCCTATTGTATGATCATCCGCTTTTTGGATTATTTGTTCATTGTCATTATCATCTTCTAAAGATTTCCTCATTACATCCATATTTTTTTCAGGTATCATGTCAATAATAGTCTGTTGAAAGCTGCTGTCGTTATTAATGGTTCCTTCTGTTTCTGTTAATTCAGCGTTGTCTATTTCATCTTCATACTAAAAGAAAATATTTGTGACATTAATAATCATTATTAAATGCTGCATCATCCTAAGTACTAATGTAAACACCAAAATTTATGAGGATGGAGGGATAAATGAATGTTTATTGCTCTCTTACGTAAAAAATATTGAAAATATTTTGATAAACATGGGTGGACGAGCTCACAGCATCTACAACGCAAATGCGCCACGCACCTTGAGACATAAGTTCTAAGGTCTCAGTGTAGGTAAAATGGCTGCCCCACTCTTCAAAACGGAAACGCATTACTGCTTCACAGCAGAAATAGGCAGGGCGGTGGTACCTACCCGTGCGGACTCACAAGAGGTCCTACCACCAGTAATCACGCAAATTATAACTTTGCGTGTTTGATTTTTATTACACGATGTTATTCCTTCACCGTGGAAGTCAATCGTGAACATTTGTTAAGTACGTGTATTTCATTAGAAAAATTGGTACCCGCCTGCGGGAAACGAACGCCTTATCTTTAAGCCACGACGACTTCAAAGTTTATATATCAAAATAACACATAGAAATACTTTTTACTGCGTCACAAACTACATAAGAATAAATATTTCACCTCTCTTTCCATTTTAATAATTACTTCGTTAATAATTACGTCGCATTCTATGTTTTTCGAATTAATAATATTTTGATCATTGACTTGTTCATGATACGAGGTACTTCCTTTGGGTACCAGTACAGAAAACATTTCGTGATTGTTCGAAGTATCGAGTTTGATTTTGTGTTTGTAGAATTTCTGTCCTTCTGTCTCCATGTTTATCTGAAATAGTAAATGTAAAATGTTAAATTTATGGGAGATAGATACATGGGATGAATATTTTAAATCAGCCTTTTCCAAAGTGTGAGATAACGCCCCCTTGTGAGCGCTGCAGGTCTAAAGAAGGGCGGTAAGAGACGCAGAAAAAAATGGGGGCGCTAAAAAATAATTCATTCTCCAAAGTGAGCAGAAGACAAAATAAGTTTAAGAGCCGCCGTTTTAAATGGATCGGTCGCATTATATGCAAAAGTTAGCGTTAAATACTAGTATAATTAATGTGACCATACGTCCCGATTTGGGCGGGACAGTCCCGCTTTCGGGCATTCTGTCCCCAGTGAGGCCGACATAGTTCCGCTTTTGCAAACAGACCAAACGATAACTTTGATTTTTTCAATTCAACATAGAGCTAGAAGTGTTTAAATGGGCTAATTTAACAAAAGAGGTATAAACTATTACAGAGTACTAACTATTTTGTGTTTAGTGCTTTCGATTCTTTTGTGTTATTCTATCTTCTATAAGAAAATGGGAACTTTTTGGCGGGAACGCGAGGAGTGAAGTTGTGTGATTTGTTTTATTTTGTCTATTTAGTGTTTCTTCAGGTTTAAATGTGTAATAACGGTGGTTTATTAACTGTTTAATATCTGTGAAAGTGCACAAATGTGGGAAAATGAAACAAAGCCGCTGGACGTCACTTCTCGGGATCCTCCAAAAAAGTCCAATGAAAAAGTCTCAGTAGATGACCACCATTTTACTGAGATTATATTTCATCCCATATCATCTCATCTCATTTCATTTGATTTCATCCCAGTTGATTAATGTTTCAAATTAATCATCTTCATTTCACTTCATCATTTTTCATAAAAATAAGAAGATAAATTAAAATAAGACATGACTTAAAGGTCTTAGTTACCAGGTCATAAAATCCCTTAAAAAAAACTTGTAAACTTTGTAAAGCACTAAACACTTTTTTATCACATAATTTCGCAGACGTCCCGCTTTGACAAAAAAATAATGGTTATACTTTCCTTTTGGGCCCGTCGATTTTTGGGTCGGGATGGGGGTGGGGGGAGGGAGGGGGGTAAGGGTTTACCCCCTGCACCATTCCCACCCCGCGGAACCTCATGGTTATGAAGATATTCACGGTTAATGTTTGAGGTTAGAATAGCACTATTTAGTCAAAATAAGGTTAAAATTTAGATTAAGGTCCATCAATTTCTGAGTCGGGAGGGAGGGGAGTAAGGGTTAATCCCCTGCACCATCCCCACTCCGCGGAACTCCATGGTTATGAAGATATCCACGGTTAATGTTTTGAGGTTAGAATAGCACTATTTATTCAACATAGGGTTAAAATTTCAATTATGGTCCATTATTTTTGAGTTGTGGAGGGAGGGGTGTAAGGGCTTACCACTGCACCATCACCAAGCCGCAGATCCCCATGGCTATGAAGATATCCATGGTTAAATTTTTAGATTAAAACTGCATTATTTAGTTAAACTCCAAGGGAGCTTAAGTTTGAATCCGCCTTATCTCCGGCGCTGCGGGAAGAGCAGCCCTTCCGCCCTTGCGTGCCGAAGCACGGTCACTCGTGCTCCCCTCCGTAGCTTCGACCAGCGTCAGCCGCTCCCCCTCGCACTGTTTCCGTGCTCCGTCACAGCGGGCGAGGACTGCTCTCTCTCCGCGCCTCCGGTTTTTTATATACACTCTAGGGGTAGGACAGACAAGACCAAGTAGAAAGTGGGCTGCTCTGATTCGGTTTTCGATATTTTTCGAATATTTTTGCAATTTTATTTCCAAAACACAAGCATTTTACTGTTTTATATTTAAATCTTATTTAAAAAGTTAGTTTATTACAGAGACAGATAAAAAGACGCTATTAAAAAAAATGCGTCATTTCACGTTCCGTTCCACAGTATAAACAAAATTTTGTTGCTTTTTGTGTAAAAAAGTCAATATAATTGCTTATTACAGAAACAATTACAATGCACATTAATTACAACAAATTTATTCTGTGAATATATTAAAATAATAAAATATATTTCGGTAAAAACATGATATAAATTTTTTTTACAAAATACACGCTTACCGTGAATGGAACGTGAAACGTCAAATGTGACATCTACCTTGACGATTTTTTTAATAATTACGGAAACTTTAAAAAATTATATCTCGTAAACCGTGAGTCTCCGCAACTTGAAATTTTGCAAAAAGCTTTTTATATATGAGTACTATCTACAAAAATATTGTGAACTTCCAAATCGACGGACCCAAACGGAAAGTTTAGCCGTATACATATTAATATGTATTTTCTACATGGATACCAAGTTTCAAGTCAATCGGATGCACGGTTCAGTAGTTATAACGGAATATCCGTAAAAACCACTGTAGATTTATATATTAGTATAGAAAGTACCTACTTAGGACAATATATTTAATAACTATCACATAAATGGCGAAACATAACCTAAAATTACCATCACTCTACTTAAATAACGAGTTAACTTAACTACCTATTTAATTGAACAAATAACATAATGAAAGTAACAATAATAAAAACAAGTAAGATTATTATACTTATTTGAACTCGTTTGGAAATTTTTACGTAAATAATGAAATCAAAATACATACGATTGAATTTTGAAGAGCGCTTAATGTAAACACATACACACTAGCGGCGACTCGCTTCAAGTCACTTCTTGACGAACTCTGGAATCTGGAAATCGACTAAAGAGTGAAGCTTAAATCTTAAATAATTACTAATATGTAATAAGTGTATTTATTTGTATTATGTAGGTACGTACTAAAGTGCCTACGCGCCTGCGCGCAACAGTCGCGTTCATAGATTATACACAATAATATTTGAGGTCGCGTTGAATGATCACGATTTTAATTTATCTCCCGGGCGATGATATGATATCGAGGGGTGAAAGGCTATTTGGTTTAAGCGACATCTAGGTTGAAAATAAGATAATTAAATACTATGTAGTCGAAAGCAGCGAATTTTTCTCTGTCGATTGATGCCGCATTCATTAAAATCTTTAAAACAATACTAATTTGTGTTGTTTCCAAAGTGGCAGTATATTAATATTCGACGCGGATTTTGGATTTTAATTGAATCATAAATAATAAATAAGACCGAGAGATAAACCAGGTACTCAGATAAATAATTCAATAAGAGACAAAGCGTTTTTCCTGTTTGTAATTTTTATTAAGACATAGCTTATATCATTTTGAAATCATTTTGACTTCCACCAATTACGCGGTAAGGTGTCTCTTAAATAATTTGTCTGTCACCCAAATTAATATGACATCGAGCGTCGCTTGTGCTCTTTCAGCTAGATCTGTTTTTTTTTGTGCCGCTTTATTGATTCAAGAAACGAATCGAAAATGGCGTCTATGTACCTGCACTGACAGATGGTAGGGTCAACAAATAAAAAGGAAGATAGAAAAAAAAGTTGTTTATTGTAAAAAAATATAAAAAAACAAGTGAGAATGTACTTTACTTTCCTTAATGCCTGGCAGAGGGGGAGGTGTTTTTTTTTATAGATTTTGTATGATATTTAGTAGATTTACTATTTTGTAGTTCTGTTATGTTTCTGTTTGTAGATTTCATATCAATTCGAACTGTGGTGCAAAAGATAAAAATTCCTACCATTCGACACTAACGTAACTATATTCGTCGGAATGGTCAAAACGCATTTTTTATGTTCGCAAAGTTTCATATCAATAATTGGGTTCACGATTTTAGATGAAGATACATACAACGCATACATTCTTTTTACAGATAACAAAAACAGAAAATCGAATAAATCTGATATGATATCACGCGCCATAAACTATGACCTAAACTAGGTACATCTAGAACTTGGGAGGATAACTCTTGCTTGACAACAAAATTGGCGCGCAAACCTAATAAAATCCGGTCGCGTTAACTGTGACGTCATTCAGAATAAAATGGACGACAATATATCGTCGGTCGGATTCATTATCGGAATATTTCCAAAATTACGTGTTTTGAGATGAGTATGTAGAATGGTAGGGAATTGAATATTTTATCCAAATCACTATCGGTACAAATCAAATGTCATTTCTCTTTGACAGAAAACTATTTATTCCGATAAAGGAATATAGATTTTAGTGATCTCTTCGTTTTCAGTATCAGTTTATTTAGAAACTAGCTGTGCCCGCGACTCCGTCCGCGTGGAATGGCGACTTAGGGCAGCAGTTTTAGGACATATCTTACTTACTGGTGGTAGGACCTCTTGTGAGTCCGCGCGGGTGGGTACCACCACCCTGCCTATTTCTGCCGTAAAGCAGTAATGCGTTTCGGTTTGAAGGGTGAGGCAGCCGTTGTAACTATACTTGAGACCTTAGAACTTATATCTCAAGGTGGGTGGCGCAATTACGTTGTGGATGTCTATGGGCTCCAGTAACCACTTAACACCAGGTGGGCTGTGAGCTCGTCCACCCATCTAAGAAACAAAAAAAAAAAAAAACTTTTGGTTTATAAGCACCGTCATTTGGGTATTTAAAAAAATCTAATTTAAAGTAATGCTTCTCTATACACGACATTACACGTATAGCCATCAGGGGTCAAAGTATACAGGTTGCTAAAATTGCTAACATGTGACAGAGCTACATAGCCGTGTGACCGCGTTGACTTTGTGAAAAGCAGTTAACACTAAGATCTACACCCACTACTTTTAGCATCTGACCTTGGGCTTTATTTATTCTCATCACGAAACATAGGCTCACTGGAAACGCGATCGGCAGTGAGTCGTGCTTCCCGATCTTCTAGTGTCTCCTGAGACCGGGCATTTGCTGTCCGAACCCTCTGAGAGCTCAGATGGATTTCCCTATCAGTAAAGGTCTCAGACTCAACCGATAATGCATGAGATTCACGATCGATGGACAAACCTAAGTCTTGGTTCATGATTTCCTTCAGATTCCTGTGATCGAACTAATCTCATCCTTTTAGCATTCCTGCTGCACTGGGAGAGGTTGGATCTTTTTCGAGGCATTCTTACAATAAGTAGTACCCACTAACACAACGTTGTTTGGTAAACACGTACTTATCATAAAACATAACTTATCATAAAGTTTACCACAATAAATTAGTGAAAACCACATCTAAATCCGATAAGCTGTTTCTGAGATTAGCGTGCACAAACGCACAGACAAACAGACAAAAATTCTAAAAGTAATTATTTTGGGTTTTATTGCGTTCATAAAGCCCCCAATAACAATTTTTTCTGAGATATCTTCCATGTACAGACAGCGACCAGTTACGATTTTATGATATGTATTGATGATATTGATTGAAAAATTGGCACAACTTTTTTATTTATGAACCGATTGATATGTAACAAACACTAAATGCTAAGTAAATTATATATCGGCCCATATACCGTAATTGAAGATTTAGAAACTTATGTAAAAATTATGAAAAACAATAACATAGAAGTTGTGCATAAAAATAGAACCAAGTTGTTTAAAGATAATGTTTAATATTTTAGCATTAATTGAATTTTAGCATTAAGTTTTAAGAGTAATCACTATGTACTACTATAATACGTTTTTCTTAAAAAGATTTATGTAAAAAAAAAAGTTTACATATTTTTTTCTTGTACCCCGGTGGTGTTGTGTGTAAGTCAGTAGTTCAGTATACTTAAAGACGTCGTACAGACAATACGTGTTTTAATTAACAACATCTACTCCTCACACCTCAAGTTGATTATTGAAAACACGAATAAAAGAACATTTTCTGAAAATAAATCGTAGCTAGATCGATTTATCGCCCCCGAAATCCCCTGTATACTAAATTTTATGAAAATCGTTGGAGCCGTTTCCGAGATTCAGATTATATACCTACATATATATTAATATACAAAAATTGCTCGTTTAAAGGTATAAGATTTAACTAAAGTATGTAGGTACCATTTTGTTCGATAACTTTTTGCCATCTTGTAGGTAGGGACAAGATCCCATTGTTATAGAAATTTTGGGACTTCTGATCAAAATACCGCGACAATTGGTTTTCGCAGTCCTCTCGTGATGTTAACATGACATTGCCAAAAGAATTCTGAAGAGACCGAAACAGGCGGAAATCTGATGGTGTAAGGTCAGAACTATATGGCGGATGCATTAACACCCCAGCCAAGCTCTCTTGATTTTTGCTGAGTGGCTAAAAATGTGTGAGGTCTAGCGTTATCATGATGAAAAACCACACCCCTTCTGTTGATTAATTCCGGCCGCTTTCTCTCAACTTCTTGCTTTAATCTCATCAGTTGTTCGCAGTAGAGTTCACAATCGATGGTCCTGCCTGGTGGTAACAGCTCATAATGAATAATGCCCTTCTAATCCCACCACACACACAGTATCACCTTGTTGCGAGTTAACCCGGGTTTCGCCAGTCTGTGCAGCCTGAGCGGCCTTTGACCACGACCTTTTTCGCACGTTCTTGTCGTACGTGATCCACTTTTCATCATCAGTTAACAGCTTCTTCAAAAATGGTTCGGTTTCATTACGTCGTAATAAAGAATCACAAATGAGTAGGTACACGGTTCATTAGGTTTCTTTTAGTGAGCTCGTGAGGTACCCAAATATCGAGCTGTTTTGTGTAACCAGTTTTTTTAAAATGCGCCAAAGCTGTTTTGCGGTCAATTCCCAGTTCTTCAGCTACGTCGTAACTACTGATATGCCGATCTTGCTCCACTTTTTCAAAAATTGCGTCCATTTTATCCGTAATAGGGCGATTCTGGCGACCAGAGCGACGTGCATCTTTGTCATCAAAATTTCCGGATTGAAAACGCTTAAACCGAATTTTTGCTACTCTCACAGACACGGCACTAGGAGGTCCATAAACATCACAATTTTTTTTGCGGCTTGCTTTGTGTTTTTACCTTTTTTGTAGTAAAATTATAAAATGTATCGAACTTCTTCATTAGATTCACTCAAAAATCACACATTTTCCTTATTTGAATTTGGAATTATCTTCTTTAAAATTTAAATTTTTAATGATACCAAAACCAGCCAGATACAAATAGTATAGCCAAAGAGATTTTATAACAAGTTCATACATAGGTACTATAATGCGAAAAGACTTTTTCCCCAATCTATTATGTATATATTTGAACGTATTTAAGTATGTATGTCAGTTTCTGGTAGGTACCCATAACATCGAGAATCCTAATTTCAGGCCGAATGACCCTGCGTAATTTGTTCATAGTTAGTAAAAAATATCATGACACAAAAATATCTTCGGCTATTTGAGAGTGGTAAAGAGAATTGATGCTTAGGACTGGATTTAAACTCAACGTCGCTCCTGGGCACCGGAAAAAGATCCGCCACAATACTGGAATTGTAATTAAACTTATAGTTTATTATATACTAGCGACCCGCCCTCGCTTCGCTTCGGAAACTGTAATTTATTATTGATTTCTCCACTATTTAATGGATGTTATTATACGTATAAACCTTCCTCTTCAATCACTCTATCTATTAAGAAAAAACCGCATCAAAATCCGTTGCGTAGTTTTAAAGATTTAAGCATACATAGGGACAGAGAAAGCGGGTTTGTTTTATACTATGTAGTGATTTTATTTTAAAAATTAAAATATCGACATTATTGCAGAAACTTTACTATATGTTACTTAAATATTCCAAAAATATAAATAATTTTTTTTTTATTAATTCTATAATAATAAATAATTTCTAAAATTTGGCACTAAAGGTGACTCATAATTATATTGAATGAATGAATGAATGAATCATATATTTTATTTCAGACAACAACAACAAGTCCGTATGTGTACATAGTATCATTGAAACATACCTACTTAAAATTATCAACACCAATGAAATAAAAAAAGATAGGTACATTTATTAAAAATAAATAAATAAAATTTCTTTAATTCCAGAAAATAGAAATATCGATTTTTATTTTAAATCTCCAAGGAAACAACGTAAACGCTAGGTAGGTTTTGGTAGGCAGCGGCTTGGCTCTGCCCCTGGCATTGCTGACGTCCATGAGCGACGGCAACCACTCTCCATCAGGTGGGCCGTATGCTCGTCTGCCTATACGGCAATAAAAAAAAAAAAAAAACGCTGCCATCCATCTCGAGATATAAGTTCTAAGGTCTCAGTATAGTTACAACGGCTGCATCACCCTTCAAACCGAAATTTATTAAATACTAGGGGCTCTCTCCGGCTCCGCTCGGGTCTTTAACAAAAATTTCAACGATATTTAACGTTGTTTTATTTTTTAAAATAAAAGAAAACTTATTGCGGCATAACTATAATAGTTAGACATATGCTGTCGCAACACTTTTTGTAAATAATAATGTGTTCTACAAAGTCTTAGTACATTATTTTATTCTATCATGAATAGTTTTCGCAGGGCACGCGATGTAAAGAATATTTTAGGTAATTTTTTTACACCTTGAATTACATTATTGGAGTTTTAGTAAGGATCCCTAATTTTTTTCAAAAAAGATTATAATAGCCTATGTCACTCGGGAATAGTGTAGCTTCCGAACAGTGAAAGAATTTTGCAAATCGGTTCAGTAGTTCCGGAACTTATTCAATACAAACAAACAAACAAATCTTTCCTCTTTATAATGTTAGTATATTTGTTTTTATTTTTATTTTTATTGCGTAGGTTTAATCAGTAAATAAAATAAAACACGTGCGTTTTAAAATTTTGCGGACGTTTTTATTTTGGGAATGTCTTAAATAGTGTAAGTGGTGGTTCCGTAACCCCACGCGTTCATCTTCCGGTCGACCCAAGACCTCATGCGGGCCACGTTGGCGTAGACCGCGGGCACGTCCTTCTGCCCGCACCCGATGCCCCAGGCGACCAGCCCGGCCAGCTTGTAGCGGCTGTCACCTATGGGACAGGCCAGGGGGGCTCCACCGTCGCCCTGGGGGACACGGGGGATGACATTGGAATTAACAAACAAAGACATGAGTGGAAGAAGCGGTTAAGTTTTTTTTTTGCTTAAATAGGTGGATGAGCTCACAGCCCACCTGATGTTAAGTGGTTACTGGAGCCCATAAACATCCACAACGTAAATGCGCCACCCACCTTGAGATATTAAGTTCTAAGGTCTCAGTATAGTTACAACGACTGCCCCGCCCTTCAAACAGAAACGCATTACTGCTTCACGGCAGAAATAGGCAGGGCGGTGGTACCTAGCCGTGCGGACTCACAAGAGGTCCTACCACCAGTAAACTATAACGCGCTCTCACCTGGCAAGTGTCCCTGCCCTCCTGTCCCCCGGCGCACACGAAGCTGTCGTGCAGACGGAACCTGGTCCCAAGTCTGGTTCGCTGCAGCAGCGAATTGCAGCGAGGGTTCGGCACCATATCGATTTCGATTTTCTTCAGTATCACCGCGTATCTGCCCTGGAGACCTAAATGACACCGCATGTATGGAGATAGGACCCTGTGCTGATACTAAACCAAGGGCATGAGGTGAAGTTTTTAATACGCTTTTATTGGTAGTTTTCCAATTACAGCACAAGAGCGCATTATGCGGCATAATGCTCAACGTTGAATGTTCCAACTACAGCAACGCTTCGCACAATCGAGCACTCTCAAAAGTACTGCTCTCGCGTGATACTCGCAATCGATATCGACTCAGTGACAGAAAATTGACAAGTGTTTTTTCTTTAAGTTGGCATTGATCGAAATTTTGTTTATATTATCGTTAGTAATATTATTTAATGTTGAATAAAATTGAAAGGCTTTCGTTTCGTCGTAGTTTCTTAGAAATAATCAATGTGAATTAAAACTGTGCTAACTTAGCGCACTCTGCTGATGCATTTGAAAACTAATTCACGTTCCAATTAAGCTTCAGCATAATTCGGCATTGTGCGTCACTGAGTCGCATTATGCTCTGTAATTGGAAAACTACCATTAGCTTCAGACGTATGTTAGTATGTAACGGAATCTTTGAACATGATTTTGATGTCCTTCAAAACGTCGGATTAACTAGAAATTTGGTATACTTATTAAGGACCCGATGACAATTCAAAATATTAAAAAAAATTGTAAAAAATTGAAATTCAACCAAAAAAATTAAAAATAAATAATAGTTCAAAAAAACCATTTAACAAAATACGCTTTTATAAAAAATCTAACTCAAAAGTAGAAAACAAGTGTTAATAAATTTGAATTAAAAATAATGTAAGAAATAATGATTGTATTGTAAAAAAAAAGCGTGGGGTGCACGGTATCGGTAGTTATAAATATTTCATGAACAGATATGAGTAGAAGGGTTATTTTGATAATATCTTGAAAAGCACCAAACGCTTTTATTAAAATACAATAACTGCTTTATACATAAATGACAGGCAATAACCATATTCGATGCGCAAAAAAAATATATTTCTAGGTCTATTAAAATCATTTCAATCCTACAGTTAGATTCGTTAAAATATAATTTTTTTCAGGTATTTCAACTTTAAATTAGTCTACTGTAAAGTTCACGAATTGTCGCTTAGTTACGTTTGCCTTTCAAGCGTCGATATATACTTATATATCTAATATATAAAATTCTCGTGTCACGGGGTGCGTGATTGAACTCCTCCGAAACGGCACGACCGATTTTCGTGAATCTTAACGTGCATATCGGCCAGGGTGGAGAATCGGACAACATATATTTTTCATCCCCCTAAATGTTAAGGGTGGTCCCCTAAATTTTATATTTAATTTTTTATACAAATTTTTTTTATTTTTTTTTATGGTGCAGCATACAGAAATACATATAACCCTAAATTTTCATCCCTCTACGATCATCCCTTACTTTTTTATTTGTTAATCCTTACACACTTACAATAAGTTAGTTTTTTTTTCTACACTAGGAATTCCCTAGAAATCTTATATATATGGTAAAACAACGTTTGCCCGGCCAGCTTGTAGGTATATATCGCCTTTTCGCATTAAAAGTGTACAATTTCCAAAAATGTTCGAAATTGAGTTAATATGCGTAAACATTTGATATCACCGGTATTTTTCTTATCATTACTGTCAAAAGAGCGTAATTTAGTTTTACTTTTTTTTTTTAGTTTACCTATGTTTTGACTACTATTAACAAAATTAATATATAATTTTATCTTAGTTTATAAGACTGATAATGTAACTGGTAAAAAATAAAATATAAATGTTGCAAATAAGATTAATAATTAATAACCGTGGAAGTCAATCGTGAACATTGGTTAAGTACGTATTTCATTAGAAAAATCGATACCCGCCTGCGGAATTCGAACACCGGTGCATCGCTACATACGAATGCACCGGACGTCTTATCCTTTAGGCCACGACGACTTCAGTTTATATAGATTTTATAGATTTCGGTTAGTTAGTTTTGTTATTTATCCCGAGTTCGACGCGTAACATTACCAAAGACGTCCTTCCCCCAGCCGTTGGCGACGCAGTTCTTGCTGGTGTCGAAGCTGTCCCCCGGGTCCGGGAGGCAGATCATGTTGATGTGCTCGGCGAGGTTGAAGGGCGCGTGCATCCGCAGGAGCGCCACGTCGTTCTTGAGGCTTTTCGTGTTGAAATCTGAGGAAACGGTGAAACTCTTTACTGGTGGTAGGGGCCTTTTTTTTATTGCTGAGATGGGTGGACGAGCTCACAGCTCACCTGGTGTTAAGTGATTACTGAAGCCCATAGACATCTACAACGTAAATGCGCCACTCACCTTGAGATAAGTTCTAAGGTCTCAGTATAGTTACAACGGCTGCCCCGCCCTTCAAACCGAAACGCATTACTGCTTCACGGCAGAAATAGGCAGGGTGGCAGAAGCCTCTTGTGAGTCCGCAGGGGTAGGTACCACCACGCCGCCTATTTCTGCCGTGAACAGGGCCGGATTTAATACCGCTCCTGTGCACCGGAAAAAAATCCGCCCCAATACTGGAATTTTACCTAAACTTATAGTTTGTATGTTTTATTTTTCAAAATTAAAATAACTAATTTATTGCAGAAACTTTATTATATCTTATATATATTCCAAAAACATAAATAAATATTTGTGTTTATTCTAACAATTATAAATTTTGCACTAAGGGACACTCATAATTATATTACATAAATAAAAAAAAACTAATTAAATGTCTTTAATTCCAGAAAATGTAAAACTCAATTATTATTTTAAATGTACAAGGAAATAAATTGATTAAATCATTTTGATTATTAATTTTTACCAAAAGTGCCAAGATTATAATTCACAAATAATGGATGAATTGAATTTGTTGAATTATCAATTAAACAGAAAATTATTAATTAATAGAATTAATTAAAAACAAAGACTAAAAAAATTTTTTTACTTTCGAAATTTTGCCGCCCTGGGCACTTGCCCCGATTGCCCCTAGTGTAAATCCACCAGTGGCCTTGAAACAGTAATGCGTTTCGGTTTGAAGGGCGGGGCAGCCGATGTAGCTATACTGAGAACATATCTCAAGGTGGGTGGCGCATTTACGTCGTAGATGTCTATGGGCTCCAGTAACCACTTAACATCAGGTAGGCTGTGAACTCGTCCACACATGTAAGCAATAAAAAATAAATAAATAAAGTTAATATCCAAATTTGCTGTGAACTTGTGGTGGTAGATATGGAACGCATGATATTTGACAGATGCCTGAATCTCGCTAACGACATTCTCATGATCAACTCTTGCATATCGACGGGTGAGCCGGTCACCGTCCGCATCGAACCCGTCGCTTGCGACGAAGGGCTCGACGAGCGAAATAACCCTCAGACACAGCCCATTGAGTTTCTCGCCGGATCTTCTCAGTGGGTCGCGTTTCCGATCCGGTGGGAGATTGGTAGACTCAGCAAAGCACTGCTCTTGCTAGGGCCAGTGTTAGCAACACACCCGGCTTGAGCCCCGTGAGCTCACCTACACGTCAAGGAGAAGCTGATATAGCCTCTCAAGGCTATCAGCATAGGTAGGGGAAAAAATAAAGAGGGGTTAAAGGCAACTGAAAAGGTTACTGAGCAAATCTCTGACCTTCGTGTATGATTATTTCCTCGACGAGTCTCACTTGGTGGTCCAGCATTTCCTTGATGGTCTGGGTGTCCCATTCTCCGGCTCTTGCTCTCAAATTGCCCGGGGCGTACCTGTGTTGTTTGAAGGCATTCAAATCCATGTGTGTTCGTTGGTGGTAACGCCGTCCGATAGACACAATTGGATAAAGGGACCCTTGATTTTATATGGGGGCTTCGCGTTGTCAGGGAGAGAGAGGGGAGGAGTATGGCGAAAAATTACAACTTCTATGAAGGCTTTTTACTGGTGGTAGGACCTCTTGTGAGTCCGCGCGGGTAGGTACCACCATCCTGCCTATTCCCGCCGTGAAGAAGTAATGCGTTTCGGTTTGAAGGGTGGGGCAACCGTTGTAACTATACTTGAGACCTTAGAACTTATATCTCAAGGTGGGTGGCGTTACGTTGTAGATGTCTATGGGCTCCAGTAACCACTTAACACCAAGTGGGCTGTGAGCTCGACAAACCATCTAAGCAATACATCGACCCTTTGCCGAGTTCGACGAGTACGGTTACCGGGGTCCCTACTCCTAGTGTTAGAGCTGAAGGCCTCTAATGCAAGAGTTATTGGATCTGATAGATCCGGAAGGACGTGTCTCTTCCATTCTCTTCTATCAGCCGTCATCTCAACACTCACTTCTCTTTCTCTCATATAATCATTCACATATCCCGCACATGTTTTTTAAAATTTATTGCTTAGATGGGTGGATGAGCTCATAGCCCACCTGGTTGTTAACTGTGGTTACTAGAACCCATACGTAAATGCCGCCATTCTAGGGTCTCAAGTATAGTTACAACGGTTGCCCCGCCCTTCAAACCGAAACGCATTACTGCTTCACGACAGAAATAGGCGGGGTGGTGGCACCTACCCGTGCGGACTCACAAGAGGTCCTACCACCTAAGTATGCTGCCTACAAGGGGAATAAAAAAATAAAAAATAGATCTACTGTCGATTGACTAATATGTACGTGTCACTATAGACATTACGCAACGCCTATTTCTTTTTTTTTTTTTTTTTCAAAACTATGGTGATAGTCTGAATGAAGTTTCACTACATAGTATAAAACAAAGTCGCTTTCTCTGTCTCTATATCCATATGTATGCTTAAATCTTTAAACTCTTTAAATCTTAAACTACGCAACGGATCTTGATGCGGTTTTTTTTAATAGATAGAGTGATTGAAGAGGAAAGTTTATATGTATAATAACATCCATTAAATAGTAGAGAAATACTGTTATCAATAATAAATTACAGTTCCCTAAGCGAAGCGAGGGCGGGTCGCTAGTCTATACTTAATATTATAAAGAGGAAAGATTTGTTTGTTTGTATTGAATAGGCTCTGAAACTACTGAACCGATTTTAAAAATTCTTTCACTGTTTGGAAGCTACACTATTCCCGAGTGACATAGGCTATAATATATTTTTTTTTAAATTAGGGATCCTTACTAAAACTCCAATAATGTAACGGAAGGTGTAAAAAAATTACCTAAAATATTCTTTACATCGCGTGCGCTGCGAAAACTATTGATGATAGAATAAAGTAATCTATACTAATACTAGCTGACCCGGCAAACGTTGTGTTGCCTTAAATAAGATTTCTAGGGAAATTCTAGTACTGTATAAAATAAACAAAATAGAAAGCTCCACTTACTTGTAAGCGATGTGAGCGCCAGTCATGACGACTTGAGGATGTATCAGGACTCCTACTCCAGCGTACGATTCGTTCAAAGCGTCCAGCAGAGCCACCACCCAGGGGAACTCGCCGAACTGAGCCTCCGTACCCTGAGGAAGAGTCAGCTGTCCTCAAACCTTCTGATTTATCTCACCAGGTGGAAACTTGATAACTTTCGAAGGCCTTTCAAAATGGCGTCGTATTCACGTGAAGATAAAACTCATAAATATATTTCTAGAACGACTTTGGGTCCTTAGTAAGAAATCTAAATAAAAATATCTTATCTTATACGTTTAAACGAGCAATTCTTGTATATTAATATATATGTAGGTATATAATCTGAATCTCGGAAACGGCTCCAACGATTTTCATAAAATGTAGTATACAGGGGATTTCGGGGGCGATAAATCGATCTAGCTACGATTTATTTACAGGAAATGTTGTTTTATTCGTGTTTTCAATAATCAACTCTTCCCGACATCTATTGGCGAATAATAATACTATTTTTCTTAATTGAGGGCAACTAACCGCTTTAAAGAAACAACAAGATGGCGTTTTAAAAAAAATATCGTCAGTCACCGTCTAGTATATATTAAAATACCCTCTGATGCTTTTGAAAAGTAATAATGTTAATAATATTAACTCGGTACGCACGTATGTTTGTTTATATGAATATATTATATATTTTGACGTCCTTTCGATTGACTCCAAGACGTCAGATCATATTGACAATTCTCACGCGCGTCAAGGACCGATGTCCACACAATAGTACTTGTCTTCATCGAACATGTCGATTAGGAGGAAGAGTTCGATGATCGAACCAGCCCATAGACACAGGCCACTGAGTTTATAGCCGTATCTTCTGAGTGGGTCGCGTTTCCGATCCGGCGGTAGACTCTGCGCAGCGCTGCTCTTGCTAGGGCTAGTGTTAGCAAATTCGCTCAGGTTACCAATAATTACCTGGAATAGGCCCTCAGGCTACCAGCCTGATAGGTAGGGAAAAACAAAAAGCACCCTTCTCCCGATTTGCTAACGCTACCCCTAACAAGAGAATCCTTCGCAGAATCTACCTCCGGATCGGAATCGCGATTCACTGTGAGAAAGAGACTCAGTGGGCTGTGTCTATGGACTAGTTCGCACGTCGAACTCTTTTTCGGAGTCGAGTTCGACGAAGACGGTGACCGATGCTTGAGGGTCCTCAAAGCATTGAGAGTGGATCCAGGCGATCTGACAAGACATATTTCGGGCGACGGCGGCTTTACGTTGCCTCTTCGCCTTGATAAGCCTTGGCTTTGTTTCATTTTCCCACAATTGTGCACTTTTTCAAATACAAAACGGTTATTAAACCACTGCCATTACGCATTTAAACCTGAAGAAACACTAAATAGACAAAATAAAACAAATCACACAACTTCACTCCTTACGCTCCCGCCAAAAAGTCCAAGAACACCAAACAGCTACTTAGAAACTTCGCCCTGTGTACACTAGACATGTTCTACGTACCACCCCTCCGGTGATGGTCACTCCGACCCCCATGGGGTTCCTGTAGCCGCATCCCTTCAACTTCGAGGGGTCCGGCTGCGGCTTTGGCACGGGTTCCGTTATGGGATTAGTGCAGCAGATCTCCACGCTCTCTTGGCAGTCTTCTTCGCCGAACCTGAGGAGTTAGGACAGCTCCAACTGTAGCGGTCTCGGTCACAGGACGAAGGTATTTGAGGAACGGCGCGCGTGTAACTTGGTGCACGTGATTTTTTTATATGTAAAGATTGAGCACCGCTGGAATTGATGCGGAAATTAGGGCGGACCACATTGTATTACGTTGTTGCAGAGACTTTGATCAAGACTTCAAGTTGCCAAGCACATTCCGAAATAATTATCCCTAAGCCTGGAATAACGATGCCCAATCTTTAGTTTCCTCTCCTCGGTGTGGTGCAAATCCTAGACCAGGACTTTGGATTTCGCCATTGTCTTTTCCCCACAGCCTGGTCGCTAATAAAGAACGAGATATACCTGACATCCAGCACTCCCCACCCCGTCACGCTGGCGTTATTAACGTCCACCCCTTCATTGTTCTTGTTACACAAATAGTAGGGGACGCATTTGCAAGATTCCCCGTTCTTATCCGTAAACACGCTGTTGCTCTCCGTAGGCTTAACGATGATCTGTGGGGAATAGAACGTTGAAGACTTAGTGCAGGGTTCTATCCACGTGATTTATTTGGGAAACCAACAATACAAAACAAACATATAAACACTTTTTTACTGGTGGTAGGACCTCTTGTGAGTCCGCGCGGGTGGGTACCACCGCTCTGCCTATTTCTACCGTGAAGCAGATGCGTTTCGGTTTGAAGAGTGGGGCAGTCGTTGTAACTATACTGAGACCTTAGAACTTATATCGCATGGAGGGTTTTTTTTTTTCCACAGGAGAAAATCGCCGGATCCCCGTATGTGGGAGTTGAACCTCACTAAAAACTCCTGTTGCTCACAGCCGGCGCCCTACCCCGGACCGGGTGGGACAGTCGGAGCTATTGAGACGGCGGGACAGGGTTTACGCAGAGCATATTACATCCATCCCGCCGTCCCACAGACGCCGGACCGGCGGCCGCCAGCGACACGACCGCCGGTTCCCTCGGTATCACAAGGTGGGTGGCGCATTTACGTTGTAGATGTCTATGGGTTCCAGTAACCACTTAACACCAGGTGGGCTGTGAGCTCGTCAACCAATCTATGCAATAAAAAATTCTGTTCTCAATTCGATCACAGACTTTGAACAATAAACAAAAGAGTTTATATGAGTGTGTGTGTCAAATACACGGTAGTGTGTTTAATGTATTTTTTATACAAATTTAAAAAAAAACTATTAACATTCTGCACTCCATGTATTTATTTTCTATAAGCGTGGGAAATTTCATACTCCTCCGTCCGCACAATTTTTGTAAAAAGGGGTACAAAGTTTTTACTTCACGTATTAATAAATAGATATAGATATGAAAAATGTAATAATAATTTTGCTTATTTACACATAAATAATAAGAATAAGCAATTTACGTATAAAACATACTTAAAAAACCTATGAAACATAAATATATAATTGAAGTAAATATCAATTTCAGAATCTACCCTAACACAAATTATACTGGTTGTCAGGTAATTTAAAAATAAATAATAGTTAAAAAACTAACAAAATACGCTTTTATAGAAAATCTAACTAAAAAATATAAAATAAATTTTAATAAATTTGAATTTAAAATAGTGCAAGAAAAAAAGATTTTACTGTAAAAAAAGCGTGGGGTGCATGATATCAGTAGTTATAAATATTTTATGAACAGATAGATATGAGTAGAAGGGTTATTTTGATAATATCCTGAAAAGCTCCCCACGCTTTTTTTTACAATAAAATAATTTTTTCTTACACTATTTTTAATTCAAATTTATTAAAGTTTATTTTCCATTTTTTAGTTGAATTTTCTATAAAAGTGTATTTTGTTAGTTTTTTTTAACTATTATTTATTTTTCATTTTTTAGTTGAATTTCAATTATTTCAATTTATGTTTTTTTTTTATATTTAATTGTCATCGGTCCGTAAGCAAATTTCGAGTTAATCCGACGTTTTAAAGGGGGTCAAAATCATATTCAAAGATTCCGTTACATACTAACATACATACGTCTGAAGCTAATAAAAGCGTATTAAAAAAGCTCTTTAATCCTTATTAAGAACGAACATTTTAACGAATTTATGTTCTTTCTTCATCCTGGAGTCAGTAATCCTAATCTCGTGTCCCGAAAAACCTGAATTTTCTACCAAGTAGACCGTCATCTGTAGCTAATAGAAGACGCAATGATGAAGTTGAGGCTTACGTCTTCCAGGTTCCCCGTGCCGGGCTTCGCCGGCGTGGGGGGCGTTCCGAAGATGTTCAGAAGCAAGGCAGGGTCTAAGGTCGTGTCCTGGGCGAGACCGACTGTTACCAGCACCGCCAGCAAAAGCGAACGCATTGCACTGAAACAAACAATTTTTTATTTTATTTTTTCTACCTATTCTAGTAACCTTAAGAAGTTATTCTAGATTCACCGAATTAGTAGGTGAGCTCACGGTGCTCCAACCTGACGACATTGCTAACACTGACCCTAGCAAGAGCAGTGCCTCCCAGAATCTACCACCGGATCGGAAACGCGGCCCATTGAGAAGATCCGGCGAGAAACTGTGTCTTTGGCTAGTTTTGGTTTTGTCCGAGATGCTGTGCCTTTAGTTCCATACGCTTTTTTGGTTGACGTGACAACGTCTTATAATTCGATGGAGCCGGCTGCACGCACAAAAAAACATGACTCGTGCGGCGTTACCTCGCTCTGAGGCGTTCCATTTAAGGCTTGAAGTCCAAGCGAGAGCGCGCAACGAGCGACAAAGAGGCACAATCGGCCTCCGCGTTCGGCAGTGTTCGACATCTGTCTCTCTCCTACTTGAGTGAGCGATGCATCCGCGTGGACAGCTGCTATACAATAATACATTTACATGTTTTCGTCAAGTATGAAGTTCAGTGAAAAGTGAATGTGGTGTCAATTGTCCATACAAAATATCTATCAAACAAATAAAATTAAATTTTTCTTTTGAAAAATGAAACCATTCCATCAGTATTTTCTTATGACGTTGTCACGTTCAACTATCGCCAGTAAACCGACTTTACAGACAACCGATTTTTTTTGTTGTTGTTTGGGTAGGTGGAGCTCACCTGATGTTAAGTGGTTACTGGAGCCCATAGACATCTACAACGTAAATGCGCCACCCACCTTGAGATATAAGTTCTAAGGTCTCAAGTATAGTTACAACGGCTGCCTCATCCTTCAAACTGAAACGCGTTACTGCTTCACGGCAGAAATAAGCAGGTGGTGGTTCCTACCCGCGCGGACTCGCAAGAGGTTCTACCACCAGTTGAACATGATCTCTAGCAAGATCTCGATCTTTCTGGAAACTTACCAAAACCCCCTTACTAGATGACGTTAGTTGTTTTCGTATTGCGTTATTTCCTAGTGCCGTTCTTAGCCAAGAAATGACTTCTGCTGTATCTGGGTGCGGTTAGGTTAAGTGTTATACGTTCGCTCAATAAAATAAATTGTTAGTTTGACCTTTCCTTACATAATATGTCAGTATATAAACAAGTTTCCGTTCGAATCATCTTGTCCCAATAAAATTATTACGTAAACACGATTCATGTTTTTAGTTGATTATCGATTCTGTCTGTTAGAAAAACGAATGAGATTTGATGTAATCCCTAAAATATTCATGTGGCAAACCGCTCTAAGCCCGCGTAGGGGTTTTTTTTTTCTTCCTACCTAAGCTGATAGCCTTGAGAGGCTATATCAGCGGAACCTTAACTAGTAGGTGAGCTCACGGGGCTCAAACTTGACGACGTTGCTAACACGAACCCTAGCAAGAGCCGTGCTTCGCAGAATCTACCACCGGATCGGAAACGCGACCCACTGCGAAGATCCGGCGAGAAACTCAGTGGGCTGTGTCTAAGGATATATATATATTTATTCTCTTTCATCTAAATGTAGATTTCATATCAAATCGAGCTATAGTTCAAAAGATAAACGTTCCTACCACCAGCGTCATCTATCCGGCGCTAAAGTAACTTTGTTGGAATGGTCATGTTGCATTTTATAAGTTCGCAAAGTTTATTAACAAATGGGTTCACAATTCTCAAGTTTTAGATACATACAACACATAATATATTCTCTTAACATAATATATAGCAGACAGAAATAAAAAAGAAAGAAAATTGAATAAATCTGATATGATATTACGCGCCATAAAGTATGACCCAAACCAGACACGTCTAGAAATTGACAAGATAACCAATAATAAGTGTATTATTATAATAGTTATGTAGGATAACTTTCGCTTGACAGAATTGGCGCGCGAACTTAATTATGACGACACTGATATTAAAATACTTTACGACATAACTTTTCAGAACTCTTTTAAATTTTATAAGCGCTTAAAATAATAAATAACCTAATATAAACCGGCCATGTTAACTGTGACGTCATTCAAATTAAAATGGACGACAAAACATTGAATTAAAATAAATAGGCACGCTATTGATCGTAGTGTTCTCTACCCGATGATATGTAGGCGAAGTAAAATGTCCCTTAGAAATAAGGTGACACTCTACAAAACTTGCATACGCCCCGTCATGACCTATGCAAGTGTAGTGTTCGCTCACGCGGCCCGCATACACTTAAAATCCTTTCAAATCATTCAATCCCGTTTTTGCAGGATAGCCGTCGGAGCCCCGTGGTTCGTCAGGAANTTTGTGATTTTTGTTATTTGTCTGTCGATTGCTTGTTATACGGATCTTCGTGTAGGTTAACTTCTCGGTAAAGGCGCGTAAGGTTAACGAGTCGAAAACCGGTTCTCATCTCGATTCTTCGGTACGAGGAAAATTTATATTTTATTCGCGAATCTTGTTAGCATTGCATCAAATGTTTGTATGTGAGCGAAGCAAAACACAATTAAAAATAACATTATTAAGTTTTTTTTTGTTTAGTTTTTTTCGGCGCCACGATAGCGCGCGGATTTTTGCTCCACACAGCAACATCGCAACAGTTTCCGATTTTAAACATTTTGATTTTGAACAGTTTTTTTTTTTCAAATGTTTAAACATTTAAAAAATATATGGGACGCAGACAACAATGGCGTCGCAAGAAGCCAATCGCCATACTTGTGATGCGAAGTAGAAGATGTAATAACAGAATGACCTGGAGTTAATGTACTATTTTGCCTCAGATTGAGGTAAGCATCGAGTGACGCTAACAAGATTACCTCGTATTCGAGTGGAGGCGCTGAAATTTGTGAGTACGTCTTAAACATTGACTGACTCGGTGGTGCTGTAGTTAGCGACTGTGGTGACGGTTGCGTCGAGGATCGTGAGTTCGATTCCCGCATCGGGCAAACCATTCGTGCGACGAACAGGTTTATTTGCGTTTTGTCTGGGTGCTTATTATTTATATATGTAAATACTAGCGATCCACACTCGCTTCGCTTCGGTGCGCTACGTCCCTATTCTACATACATCCAACTAATCCTGCGTTAAGAATGTATGGATGTATATTTGTTACTCTTTCAAGCAAAAATTACTGAACGGATTTTTATGAAACTTTACAATAATATAGCTTACACATCAGAATAACACATAGGCTATTTATTATTTGTAAAGGTATAGTGTGAATTACTCAAAATATAACGATATCTTTTTTTGGGTTTTTTGTTGCATAGATTGCTGGACGAGCTCACAGCCCACCTGGTGTTAAGTGGTTACTAGAGCTCATAGACATCCACAACATAAATGCGCCAACCACCTTGAGATATAAGTTCTAAGGTCTCCAGTAGATCCATACCATCTATTCGCTTAGATAAATCCCGGATAGAATGGAAAGCAGTCAACGTCGCCCAAAACACGTCATTTCGGATCTTCCCGATCCACTAACGGTGCTTTTAGGAACCTCAAGCACCGGTCACCGTTCCTGTGTCTGTGGGTTAATTTACTCGTCGAGCCCTTCGTTGCAAGCGACGGGTTCGACGAGTAAATTAACCCACAGACACAGCCCACTGAGTTTCTCGCCGGATCTTCTCAGTGGGTCGCGTTTCCGATCCGGTGGTAGATTCTGCGAAGCACTGCTCTTGCTAGGGTTAGTGTTAGGCAACGTCGTCAGCTTTGAGCCCCGTGAGCTCACCTACTACTAACGCTTACGCTGAAATAGCCTCTCAAGGCTATCAGTATAGGAAGGGAAAAAAAATCGGTAAATATCATGTGAAAATCATTCAAAAAACAAATCGGTCTTGTTTTCTTAAATGTTATCTCCGAGATAACCTTTGGTCAGACTCGACTATGAACATTAAACTTTGTTATTATTATAGGAAATAAAACCTTTTTTTTTAAAACGTTTTCGTATAGCTTACCGTTTCCCGCGATCAGATAAGTGTCGTCAGACAAAAAAAATAGGCCCAATCTCTCGTAACTTTGATTACACGATAGGTAGTCAACATTAATTTTACGAAAATGCATGCAGCAGAGATGCGAATGTTGCGATGGATGTGTGTAGTAACGAGAATGGATAGAATACGGAATGAATATGTCAGAGGAAGTCTGAATGTGGCACCTGTGACAGAGAAGCTGAGAAGTGCGCGTTTGGGATGGTATGGACATGTGACGAGATGAAATGAAAATGAGGTTGGTAAGAGAGTGTTAACTATGAATGTGGAAGGATATAGAGGAAGAGGTAGATCTAAGAAGAAATGGATGGATTGCGTGAAACTCGTGAAAGACGATATGGGTAAGAGGGTAGGGAGCGAAGAAACGTTATATGATAGAACAGTATGGAAGGATAAAAACATGTTGCGCCGACCCCGGGTGACTGGGAGAAGGACAGGAGAATGATGATGGTGATGATGATGATACAAAATAGACACAGTGTAAGAGCGAATTACATTCATATTCTTAGAGTAACTTTTATGAATGTGGGGACGCTCAAAGTAAAATAACACAGTTTTTGGAAAAGTAAATTTTATTTTAAATTAATGCTCGATCGCCATCTTGACCATCTCTCTTCCGTCCTTTTCTTCTTAATACATTCATCCCTTTCACTCTAAACGTTCAATTTCCCACATGAATTTTTGCCGTTAAGCAGTAATTCGGGTCTAAAGGGCGGGTAGTCAATTGAGACGGGCCTTTACTTTGAGACAGACCTCATGTCGCAAGGTGGCGATAATCCCATAGAGATGTCTACAGCGCAATATGTCAATGTTACGCGCGTTTAATATTGAGCTCAAACAAATCGAATGCGAGGCATTTTGTTAATCTATACTTACCAATGCAGGATTGGTAAGAATGAAACGTATGAAAGAATGTGGAACGGAACGTTAAGATGTGAGCGAGAGGAAACGATAAGAAAGGGAATAGAGGAGAATGACAAACAAAAGGAAGATGGCGAAGATGGTTAAGGCGCTTCCGTACATATGGAAGTTCTTCCAGATACGCGCGGGGCTGTAGGTGAGCTCACAGGCTCGACTTGAGAGAATTTTGCCAACACTAGCCCTAGCAAGAGCAGTGCTTCGCAGAACCTACCACCGGATCGGAAACGCGACCCACTGAGAAGATCCGCCGAGAAACTCAGTGGGCTGTGTCTATGGGTTAGTTCGCTGACTGAACTAGAACGGTGACTGGTGCTTGAGGATCCTAAAAGCACCGAGAGTGGTTCCAGGGAATCCGACTAGACATGTTTCGGGAGACAGCGACTTTGCGTTGCCCCGTCGCGGTCGTATAAGTATAAAAACAATCACTCTAAAAGAATTGTGAATAAACAGTCTTCGAGGAAATACTACTGAAGTATCCATCGAACAAAGCACTGGACAAAGCTCTAATAGCAAACAGTAGGACGATTATTCTTATTATATACTTAGGCAGTTAAAAATAGAAAAGACTCAACGTCTGTCCACAACCTGCCTACAAAGAATATCGCGGTATTTTGGTCATGTTGCACGCAAGGATACCAGCAATTTGGTAGGCCTTGTGGTGACCGGTAAAACAGAGGGGAAAAGGCCTAGGGGTAGAGGTCCCAAACGATGGTCGGACCAAATAGCGGAGGACATTCCACCAAGCTACAAAACGGGATCGATGGAGACAGCTGGTTGACGGAATAGGACGGAGTCACGATCCTCAGCAGTGAGGGACAGATCGAAGAGAGAGAGGTACAACTGAGATTTATTATTTTAATTTGAAAGAGTCTTTTAAGCTATTGCATAGCTTTTACCGGGGGCTTTTAGTGCGGCGACCGAATCAAGAAATTCCGTAACGAAAATAAAACCTAACACTCCGCCTACCATGTAGCTCGCGTTTAACACATTCACAAGTTGCGCTTGTGTAGTGTTTGTGAATAAGTGCGCGGCGTGATGTCGCACTGCATGCGCATCATGAAAAGTCTGCCCATCTCTTTTTCTCGCGCGGTCTAGCTTATGAGTGTGAAGGGCACAGTTAATGTTTTGCTTTCGTTAATGTTTATAAATATAGCGTGGTCTTGTTTTATTATTGTTTTAATATTAAATCATTTTTGTCTAATTATAATTGCATAAGTTGATACAAAATGCTATGCAATAACTTTACCACGGCAGCCCACGAGTGCCACACGTGTTTTTTTTATCCATGATCCGGATACCCTGTTGCGATGGCGGGCTATTTATCGAAGATCATCGTGGTAAAGGCATGTTACGCGTTGAGAGGTTCATCGTGTGCCCAAAACGACCCTGGGTATGAAAGGAGACGGTCATCTGAGGAAGGCAAGTCCTAAATAGCCTTGATCTGACTGTGTGAATGAGGATATACGTGAGATAACTGCTTAATTAGATAAAGTCAAGAAGAATGGCTGTTTATTGTAATATAGCAATTAAAAAACTACTCATTAACATTTTTTTAATACATTAAAAACTGAATATTCCGTAATGCGCTTGTTTTTTAGTTTCTTGCCGTGTCCGTAAAATGTAATGTAATGACGTTCAATGTGCCTACTTATTAATTTGTTTGGTTCTTTATTAGGGTCGTGAACTTTGAGTTATTGGCGGACTTAGCAACGCCGTTTTTGGTATTCAAACAAAACTTATACTTAAAAAGTCAGAACGGATACTTAATGGACGAAATCAACTATACTTAATTAATAAATAAAAAAATGCAGATTTACCTTCTTTTATTAAAACACTCTGAGAAAGAGAACCGACAAAATTTTACGTCACTGTATTACGAAAACTATGCACTAATTAGCACATTATCACTTTTTTTTGTTTGATTACGTAAAATAAGGATATTTTTTTTGGGTATTTTTAATGAAATGTTTCGTCTGCACGTCTAACCTTTACGGAGACTCGCTGACGACTGATTGACTTTTAAAAATGTAATCTACACTGTCCTGCGTCTAAATAAAATATAAGGCCGGCCGTATATTGTCCGGTGATGCTTCGGGTACAGTTTCAATCTGTTTAATCTGACTGAAAGATTGCGTCGATGGTGCAGTAATTAGCAGCCCTAACTATTCTGCTGTGGATTTGATTCCCACATCTGGCAAACAATCGTGTGATAAACTGGTTCGTTTTCTCTTGATCTGGGTGTTTACTAGCTATATATGTATATATTTGAACGTATATAAGTACACCTGGTGTTAAGTGGTTACTGGAGCCCATAGACATTTGCAACGTAAATGCACCACCCAACCTGAGATATAAAAAAAAAGACATAAGTTCTAAGGTCTCGGTTTAGTTACAACGGCTGTCTCACCCTTCAAACCGAAACGCATTACTGCTTCACGGCAAAAATAGGCAGGGTGGTGGTACCTACTCGTGCGGACTCACAAGAGGTCCTACTACCAGTAATAAAAGTGTTAATAATTTTTATTATTATTATTACATATAACAGAAGTTTTGGAACAGTGGAAGTTTTATTTTATGCGCCGCGATCTCTATTCTACATGTATTTCAACATCATCATCATCATCATCAGCCCACAGTCGTCCACTGCTGGACATATGCCTTTCCCAATCCACACCACTGAGCCCGGTCATCGGGTCTCCTCTTCCATCTCTTGGCGGCCACCGGTCGAAGGTCATCACATTAGCCAGGGAGCGTTCCACTTTACGTCGCACTGTCCTTAATTACATTTTAATGTATACTAGTGGCCGCCCGGTAGTCGAAATTCGACTATAAAATTGATTGAAATTATAAGTTTGATCATTATTAGGGTTCTGTTGTCAAAGTCTATTTATTATACTTCTTTAATCACAGATTTTGCTAAGATTACACTTTAGACAAATATTAATAAAGACAAACAATATTAACCTATTCTCAAGTCGACCACAGACTATAGGGAATACGAAAAGTTTGACAATAAACAAATCATATGCATGCTTGTGTGTGTCAAATACATGGTAGTGTGTGTAATGTTTTTTTATTGATTTAATGTATTATTTATGCATAATTTAAAAAAAATATTAACATTCTGCACTCCTTCTCTATATTCTCTATAAGTGTGGGAAATTTCATACTCCTCCGTCCGCGCAATTTTCGTACTAAGGGGTACAAAGTTTTTGCTTCACGTATTAATGTATAGATGCTCTTGATCTTTATAAATAACATCCACAAACTTTTTAATTTTGTTTATTTTCGATCGGTCTCGGGCAATTAACTATCAATTAACAACGATAATACAACAATTAACTACTATTGCGCTGGCGCTATGATCTCAAGATGGGTCCGGCATCTATGGCCTCTGATAATAAGCTCAACCATTCATCCCGGCGCTGTACAACGCCTGGCCAGTCCGGGACTTAGAGCTCACGCAAAATCTCCTTCCACAGTGTCAGAACAGCTAAAACTCGAGAACGGCTGGATCGATTGGCTAATTTTGGTCTTGAATTATTTGTGGAAGTCCAAAGAAGGTTTAAAAGGTAGATAAATATGAAAATGCTCGGAATTGAATAAAAATAATAATTTTGCTTTTCCTTTGATGTGTCCCCCATAGGACGGATTCCTTTTGTTTGTTTTAAGTTTATTTTATACAAAAGTTTAGGTCTTTCATTTATCGAATTGGGCACTACGAAGTCTGCCGGCTCCGCTAGTAACTAAAATAAATGAGTCGTCTATTATCAAAGGCGGCAATCTGACTTTTGGACAATTATTGGTAAATCAGAAAAACGAATTATTGACTTTGTATTCCATTGGCAGTCACAAAACTCTTCGGAACGACATCTTAGATAAATAACAGGTTAACTATTAACCTTTATTTAATGCAGGTTTTGAACCGTATTCTTTGAAGGAGACGATTATATTCAAATAAATCTGTATTGACATATCAATAAAAATTTTTTGTCCAAATGTACAGATTGCCGCCTTTGATAATAGACGACTCAAATATTCGTATGATATCTGCATTATCGACAAATCAAAACCACAGTGATTAGATGTGGCATAAGTAGTAAAATCTGCTACGTTTTGAAGTCCCTTATTTAAAACTCTGGCTAACGTATTTCATTGAAGATCTGGAGGCAATCATGAAGATTTCGAAATCTGATAGCACAGCACCGTTGTTCTTATATGTGTTAGGCAATGCGTTTTATCATTACTCCGACTATAACTGGGATTTCCTTACTCAAACGTAGTCATCAGTTGCGCAAAATGATTCATTTTAAGTGCTGGGTAAACGCAATACATATATGGATTGTTGAAGTTTGAAGCTGGGATTATAATATACACGTTGATAAAGATTCTAGGGCCCATTCTTCACCTTGACTGGTAGGCAAGCTCACGGGAATCGTTTTACTGATGGTGGGACGTCTTACGAAGGCGCATTAACGTGTTGCGAAACTTAAGAGCTTTCTTTCCACAAATCTGGTTTTTTTGTTCGGATTTGCTATCTTGAACGTGGAGTAACGCTCAAATAATATTGTTACGCGCTGGGATTCTAGATAAATAAGAATTCTACCGAAGTACAAATTAAAACCTAAATTTGTACTTCGGTAAAAATTTAGAATTTATTTATTTATTTTAGAATTCGACGAAGGGCTCGGCGAGCAAATTAACCCACAGACACGGCCCACTGAGTTTCTCTCCGTATCTTCTCAGTGGGTCTCGTTTCCAATCCGGCGATAGATTCTGCGAAGCACGGCTCTTGCTAGGGTTAGTGTTAGCAACGACGTCAGGTTTGAGCCCCGTGAGCTCACCTACTAAAGTTAGGGTTACGCTGACATAGCCTTTCAAAGGTATCAGCTTAGGTAGGATAAAGATAAATCTTCCGGCGCGCGGCTAAGGACACACAGTATGCGCCCGAGATAGCTTGCAAGTTTTGACAGGTTAGGCATTATTTATCTGTGAATTTCGGTATAAAAATTATAAAAACTTAAAATCGAAATAAGAATTAATTTCGGTTTATTGATCGGTCGTAAAAACGTCAAATTTTTACAATGACATTCGTCTAGTAGAATGTCTGGTTTTTTATACCAAAAGATTAATTTAAAAAATGCGCACTTCACACACAATGCTGATTCAAGCACGAAGGCTTAAAAGCACTAATGTCAAGGTTTCTGCTTTATGATTTAGTAAATTAACTAATATATGTACATATTGATTAACTGTGAATTAACTGAATTCCTGTCAAAATATAGAATTTTTTTTTTAAAATTGAAAACGTAGGTTTTGTCAAAGGGAAGATATATCGCCGAATGCTATCATTGTTCGATGTGTGACAGTAGGTACATCTATACTAGGATCAGAAATGGTCCCTATTTAGGGCTTGTGCGAATTTTTTTTCACGATAGTCCAAAATCTGTTCTAAATCTATTAAAGAATTTCATGCCAAGCTCTTAATTTTAATTTTAAACGATAACCAAACTTTTAAATGGCAATAACAGGAGAAAAAATCTCGTAAAATCGTAAAATTTACTTAAGCTTCAACTATGACCTTAAATAACTCAGAAACCGTTGGAGTTAGCGAAAAATCATAAGAGACCTTTTTTGTAGAGCGTTAAATTTTCTATAAGAAATGTTGTTTGCTGACATGATCTGTTCATCAGTTCATGACGTAAAAAATTCTAAAGTAATAATAGATTTTTTCGAGCCCTTCGTCGCAAGCGATGGGTTCGACAAGGACAATGACCGGTGCTTGAGGTACCTAAAAGCACCGTTAATGGATCGGGAGGATCCGTAATGACGTGTTTAGGGCGACGTCGGCTGTTTACCATTCGGTCCACAGGATCGGGTTAAGCACACTGATGATGAGTTTCTGATCCTTCCACTGATGATTTCCACAGTCATTAGTAGACAGCGAAATCCACTAGCACGGTAAAACTGAAGCAAACGTGTCATAAGCCGAAACAAGTTGACCTACTTAAATTATCTGTCCGATTTTCGTGAATCGTAAATAAACGCAATTAAAACAGATAATTAGTTGGACGTCTTATATCTCTTGTCCATGACAAGAAGAACTCTGAATTTGAACGTTTTTAAATTAAAATATATAAATAATATATGTACTTAACTTCGGTATTAAATCATCAAATACAATAATTATTTTGCTTGTTACAAGATTTACCAGGAAACGTCAGTTACCCTTTTAGTGCTGAGCTTATTTTCACATATTTTGCGGAAATTGCTAATGGATTTTTGAAAAGAACTACCTTGTAAAAAACATTAACCTATAATAAAATACAAAAAGCAATGCTAAATTCACAGCAAAATACAACCCACTGAGTTTCTCGCCGGATCTTCTCAGTGGGTCGCGTTTCCGATCCGGTGGTAGATTCTGCGAAGCACTGCTCTGGCTAGGGCCAGTGTTAGCAGCATCGTCAAGTTTGAGCCCCGTAAACTAACATACGAATTAAGGTTACCCTGAAATGGTCTCTCAAGACCAGCTTAGGTAGGAAAAAAAAAGCAAAATAATATAATAAATGATTACCTATTTATAAATGTTATTGACTTAAGACACCTTAAGACATCTCCGTACAGGTCAGTACTTAATACCCCTAATCGAACTGCGCAATAGTCGGTATTCCGACGCTCTTCACATTAAACGCGTTAATAAAAAGTCGATCTATCGACAATCCGCGCTCTCAGGAATATGGGACTTTTTCGCGGGAACGCGAGGAGTGACGAGGAAGCGAGATCGTGATATCTTCGCCTTTCATTCATCTTAGGCCTTACAGCCCAGGGCGGGCCTTAACCTGGTCCAATATGTCTCTCCAGACTACTCTGTTCAGGGTTTTCTCCTTCCAGTTCCTGACACGGATAACTTTGAAGTCGTGCTCTACGCCATCTAACCATCGGACTTTGGGCCTGCCAGACTTCTGCGGCAATGGTTTGCCATAGAGCACTTGTCTTTGCATTCTGGTCT